AGAAGTTGCTGTGGCCAAGATCAAAGAGGCTTTTGCCTGTTTTCTCCTCGAGGATTTTGATGGCTTCCTGTCTTACATTGAGGTCTTTCATCCATTTTGAGTTTATTTTTGTGAATGGTGTAAGAAAGTGGTCCAGGTTCATTCTTCTGCATGTCACTGTCCAGTTTTCCCAGCATCATTTGCTGAAGAGACTGTCTTTATTCCATTGGATATTCTTTCCTGCTTTGTCAAAGATTAGTTGGCCATAGGTTTCTGGGTCCATTTCTGGGTTCTCTATTCTCTTCTATTGATCTGAGTGTCTGTTCTTGTGCCAGTACCATACTGTCTTGATGATTACAGCTTTGTAGTATAGCTTGAAGTCCGGGATTGTGATGCCTCCTGCTTTGGTTTTCTTTTTCAAGATTGCTTTGGCTATTCAAGGTCTTTTCTGGTTCCATACAAATTTTAGGATTGTTTGTTCTAGCTGTGTGAAGAATGCTGGTGTTATTTTGATAGGCATTGCATTGAATATGTAGATTGCTTTGGGTAGTATTGACATTTTAACAATATTTGTTCTTCCTCCAATACATTTGCTTTTTAAGAACATTTAACAACATGGGCAAATATTCAGTATCAACAGGCAAAAGGAGGATATAAACCAAAGAGTCATAGTGTGAGGGAAAAAAACTAGATGGACCTTCCACCAGGTATGCTTTGATTTTTCATTGAAGTAACCCTGAAAAAATTTTAAAAAGGGAATGGTGGTGGAAGAAGTCCTATCCCAATTATGCAAACATTTCTAATAGTAAACTTTTTTCCTGCTCTGCTGGTGCAATTATTTATTTTTTTTTTATTATTGTTCATCTTAAAAACTATTTGAAGCATGATACAATTAATATTTTTCTAAAAAAAGAGGAAAGTTGCTAGATAAAAGGAAAATAAGATAATAAAATTATTATAGGAAATATAAATGTAAAAATATTAAAGTAAATTAGATTTAGCTGTACATTATCAAACTTCCCAAAGGGAACAAAATTCTATAGACTGCATTGTTAAATCTAGAATATATAGTTACACTAATTGTGGATGATGCAAAGATATTTTCAAATGTTCAGTGCCCTTGATCAATTTAATTTCCTGAGAAGGCAAGACACACACACACACACACACACACACACACACACACACACACTCTCACACACACACACCTCTAAGGTAACTTGGTCAGATAAGTTTACAAGGCAATATGTGGTTAAGTATTGCCACACTGGTACAAAGGAAATTCTGTAGATGTTCAAAGAAGAGAGCTTACAAGAGGTAGCACTTAAATTAGAATGACTAATAAAGACTTCAATTAAATGGAAAAAATTTGAAATACCGAAGTTTTGGGGATAAGTGTAGGTATTCATTTGGGAAATTAGATTAAAAAAAAAAACTCAACATGTGAGACTAACTTGACAACCAGTCCTGTCAATCCTCAACAGTTGAGTATATATTTCCTTTGAATAAAGAGATTCTCCTATACAATTACAATGTATCCAGCAAAATATAAAAATTCACCATGTATTACTGCCAGCTAATTCTTAGACTCCTTTCAAGTTTCATCAATTGTCTGAATAAATGTCCTTTATAGCAGAAGGGTCCAGATTAAAATCACATGCTACACTTGGTTGTGATGTCTTCTAACTTTCCTTCAGTCTGGAATAGTTCTTCACTCTCCCCATTGGCTTTCCTGGCATTGACAAATTTGAAGATACACACCAGTTATTTTGTGGAATGTCCTTCAAATTTTCTTGTTTCCTCATGCTTAAATTCAGGTGATGCAGCTTTGTCAGTACTATCACAGAAGGAATATCATGTACCTGGGTTACTAATTTTGATTATTTAATTAAGGTAATATATGTCAGGCTTCTTCAAGATAAAAGTACACATTTTACCTTTGCAATTAATATTTTGCAGGGAGGTACTCTGGGACTATGGCAATATCCCACTCCCCATTAGAATTCCAATTTATTAGTTTACTTACTTATACCTGAATGGATTCATGGATTCCTATTTTAGTCAATGGGTAAAATCCGTTATTATCATTATCTATTTTGATGTTACATATATCTTCTTAGATTTTTATATTTATGATCGAATTACTGTAAATATCAATTTTGTCTTCAGATAGTAAATTCTGTATAATATTTAATTTGGAAAAGGGTTCTGCTGCTAAATAGATGCAAAGTATTATCCTATTTTATTTTTGAGACTTATAATTATTTTCCTTTTCAAAAATCATAATAGATATAATGGGATAAGAGTTGGAAGCTTTCTGATATGGTGCAATGATTCAAATAGGAGTGTGCAACACCTAGAGAAATGGTATTAGGAGGCAACTTGCCTCAGGTTCCTGGGTGTCCCAGCTTGTCTCAGCTATTCCAGGAACTGGTGGGCATCAGTATCTTGGCACACTTCTAGTCCATTATAGGCACACCTGTTAGGAAGTTCTGATTTGGCGGAAAGCAATAATTTATAGTCAGGATACCCAGTTTAAAATCTTAGCTGTATCTCTATGTGGCTCTGCACAAGAACAGAGGTATAGTATTCTAAGAATTTCTTTGAATAGATAACCATGCTCTATGAATAATTACTTTCAGCTTGGGGCAAGTCATGTCACTTCTCTGGTGTTTTAGTCTTCTTTCAGAAGTAAAACTAAATTAGAGCAGCACTAATGACAAAAGCCAAAGTATGGAAAGAGTCCAAATTTCCATCAGCAAATGAATGGATAAAGAAGATGTGGTGTATATATATATATATATAT